TGGGAGAACGGCCTCCTACAAACAGTGCCCACCCCAGAGCTGCCTGGGAAGGAGCAGTTTTACTGAAAGCTGCTTTACTGTTCACCTGCATCTTTCAGCAGCTCCCCTCCTGCCCTCACCTGGTCTTTTCCCTCTTCATCCAGAGTCTTTACGCTGGAGTCCTTTCCCCAGGGGCTGTCCACCTGACAGTTCTGGGCATTCCCTACCTGAGCTGCGTGTCTGCTTTCCCTTCTCCCACTGCAAGCGGCTGCTTGTGGGGCCTGGGATGAGCCCTCTTTGTCCCTATCCGCCCCCCTTGCCAAGCCATTCCTGGGTGAGTCCAGGCCTGCGGGAGCCACACATTCATCTCCACCTGGACACTTGAGCCACATGGCGAGACCCCTCCCACCCGACGCGGTGGTGCGTACGATTTGTCGAAAGAAAAAGCCTCCCGGATGCTGTTAAAAAGATACACCCTTCAGGTGAACCTGGCATCAGACCCACAGTACTTGCTGTTTGAGAAAAAATAAAAACAAAAAGGTCACCTGTTCTCCAGCCCTTTTCTCTTACCCGGTATTTCCTTCCTTCCTTCTCCCCGACCCCAAATAAAAAAACAAAAAACACTAGAATTTATTTATATGTATTGATGTTGTAGGTCTAGATAAAAAAAAAAAAGAAGTAAATGTTTCACTGCTCTATTTATATATAATGTCTGAATTAATTCTGTGCAGGAAAGGCCAGGAAATTGCATGTGAAGTTCGGTGCAGTCACCACCTCTGTGTGACCTGAGCTGCAGTCTCTTCGCTGAGATGCAGATTTTAAATGAGACTGGGGGCTGAGGGCAGGCCTCAGGCCTCCCAGCGCCCCAACCCCTCCTTGGTCTGATTAAATGCAGTTCTTAGTGCAGAGACGTTTTAAGGTGCAATATATCTCTTCCTTTCACGTGGTTTTAGAGCCAAGCTCAAGGTAGTAGGACGTAGGGTCTTATTTTGTTTTCAAACCCCCATCTTCAGAGCGTAGATACATGCAGAGGCTTCTGCCAGGATACCACGGGGCCTTGGTGGGAACAGGTGGAGACCAGCGCTTGCCTTTTCTGCTGCTGAGTGGGGGGTCAGAACCCACTCACTTTTGCCTGCTCAAGTTGCCCTCTTCCCGATGCTGGCAGCTCTGCCTTTGCCATCGGGGGTGCGGCCCATTGCTCAGCAACCAGTGGCCTTGCGGTGGTATTTGTCCACTGTCCGCTAGAGTGGGATGAAGTCCAGAGTGTGGGTGTGCATCTGAAATGCTCATCCACCCACTGGGGACTTCAATGCCAGCTGCATTCGGTTTGGTTTTCTTCACTGTTGGCTTCTCCCCCCAGTTTTTTTTTTTTTAAACATTTGTATTGTTTTCAAACTTGGAATTCATAGACACTCTGGCTCTAGGTTCCTTAAGGGGGAAACAAAGGATGACTTTATTTCACATTCAAGAAAATCAGTTCAGTTCCAAAGCTGTGGTCCTTCCAGCCACTTCTAGGGACACTGGGGTACCTTGTTAAACATTCACATCAGTGCTCTCCAGCCGAGCTGTCGCCCTCCTATCTTAATGGATCTGCCTTCCGGATGGTCAGTGACGCCTTCTGGAAGCTGAGCGCACACAGGTGCACGGCCGTGCTGTGGCCTGGCCTGCTGCGGCAGCATGGCAGCTCTGGTGGAGCCTGCTCCCTTGCCATTTGGTTCCCCTCTGCCAAGTAACTGCAGGCTGCCCCTCAAATCTTCATTTGTCCCTTTTCACTTCCTGCAGAGCAAGCCTAGGTTAGAGGGTCTGCTGGAAATGGCCTTTGAAGACCAAGGATACCAGAGTGTGTGTGCTCTGTCATATTCTGTGATGAATGGGAAACAGGCTTCCAGAAAGCCAGCTCTCTTCTGAAATGTGACGGACCTAAGCAGGAAGTCATCCAGGACAGGAGTGGCTTGGTGTTGGAGATGGACGCTGTTGCCCTGCCATGCTCCACCAGGGCCACCAGTGTATATCTGGCTGGTGGTCTTCGGGCACGTGAGACCTGCTCTTCACTGTCTCTACCCCAGTTGGTGGCCTCCAGGATGGTAGTGGCACCCCCAGAGCCCCCATCTTCAGCATGTTCCGGAGCCTCGGAGTGGAAATTCCTGCTAAGGCTCTGTGTGGACGCCTTTCTCCCATGATCTAAAGGGGACACTGTACTCTTAAGCTTTTGACCTCATGCCTTGTGTAGTAAAAAAAAGGATTTGGGGGTTTTTGTTTGGTTCCTGAGAGGGCTGTGTTTTTTGTTTTGTTTCCTTTTGTTTATGTTTTGGCCTTTCCTCTTTGTCTTTCCATGTAGACCAGATATTTGAAAGGGCAGACGATGGCTAGAGGTGTAAGTGCAGCTTGTTTAGACGTTATTTCGGGAAACTTACCTTGGATGGGAAATGGAATCGTGGATTCACCAGGCCGGTGCTGGCACACTCAAACCCTCGCCCTTTCCCTCCGGTTCAGTACCTATTGTTTCTCCTTTCAAATATGTGATTGTACTAGCTCTTTCCATATGAAAGAATTCTCCTTATTTAAATAAAAAAAGTTAAAAAAGATAAAGCTGAACATGCTTTCTCAGGTTGTACATCCCTCTTTTCTTGGTAATTTGACCAGAGAGAACCACAGATCAAAGAGTTCTAATTTTACAGAGTTCACATGGAAATTAGGAGTGGCACGGCCGAAATGCCTTAACAGAAGCTGTATGGGTAGAGAAGGGATTGAAACCCGTGGTTAAGAAGCATCTTCCAAATGCTGCAGCATCAAGCACTCTCCACTCTTCCCACGGATGGCATCTGGCTGTGTGCAGAGCCTGCCTGCGGCCCCATCACTTGCCATGAGAAATGAGCTGGTCAGAGGAGGTAAGCATTTGATGTGGTGTGTGGTGGTGTCACTTCCAGCAGTGCTTTTGCAGGAAGTGGAGGAGGATTATGCTGTGCTTTGGGGTGGGGAAGGAGCAAGCCAAGCCAGGCCTGCGGCAGCGAAGACTAAAAGGTAAGAATGAGTTGAGGCAGCAGTTCTCAGTTTTGCCATTGCCTCACTGTGTGACCTGGGGAAAGAGTCAGTCTCCTTAATCATAAAATGCAGTCTGTAATGGTATCGACCTCATGGGGTAGTGCAGATTCAAAGTCACCAGTAGCTTTTAGCTTAGTGCCTAGAACCAGCTAAGAAAACTTACAAATTACCTCCAAGAAATAAAACGCTGTTTCCGTGAGAAACACCAATCCCTCAACTTCCTTCTAAGCCTTTTGACTATGGAAGAGAGTTGGGGACCTGGGCACAGGCATCTCAGCTTTAACCAGCCACACTCACTGCCCTGATTCACTGCTCCCTAGGGACAGGTGGCTCAGAAAATCTCAAAGGGAGACGGGCCCTGAAGGAAGCTAGTCCTGAGGTTGGGGACTTGCAAGACGGAGGCTCTCAGTCCTGAAGCACCACCACTGTTAGCATGGCATGAACCAAAGCTCAACAGGCCAGCCCCACTCCCTCCTGGGGCCCAGGGAACCTTCCCTGCCCACTGTAAACACAGTTTGCCTGCAGCCTCTGGCCACAAACACAGGTGAGCCCCAGCTCCTTCCCTCTCTGTGGGATCTTGGGTGAGTCACATAACCACTCAAGGGTAAGCCATAAAGAAGTAACCACTAAATTCTCAACTGGTATCATCTAACGCTATGTTGACCAACATGGAAAAAAAATCTTGCAGACAGCCAAGAACCGTAATTAAGGTTATTAAACCTATAGTGTGTCCTTTTGGTCTGCATAGATTAACATACAAATAGACCAGGAGATCAAGAAGAAGCGAGGCTGAGAAGAGTGATCCATCAGCCTGGTTGCCTTGCTGTCAGTTACCCTGCTCTGGGTGCCGACTGTTCCAGGGAAAACATGGGAAGGGGTGCATTCACCCAACCAAAAGTACCATGTCTGCCCCAAAGCAGGCCTTTGGGAAGGCTCTTGACCCTGAGCACAGGGGGCTGGAGAGGCTGATGGAGAAGGAGGAGGAGCCCTGGGAAGGGAGGAAGAAGCCTCCAGTCTTCTGCCACGGAGTTTAGGGGAGGTGCCCCCACTGGAGCCTCTGATGGTCTTGCAGCCCCCACTCATGTCCGGGGTTTTTTTTTTTTGGTTTTGTTTTTTGTTTTGAGACAGGGTCTCACTCTGTAGTCCAGGCTGGAGTGCAGTGGTGAGACCAAGGCTCACTGCAGCCTCGGCCTCCTTGCCCCAAGCGATCTCCTGCCTCAGCCTCCCTTGTAGCTGGGACTGCAGGCGGACGCCAACAGGCCCGGCTAATTTTTGCAATTTTCTTATGGAAACGTGGTCTCCCTATGTTGCCCAGGCTCTTCTGGAACTCAAGCGGGCTCACGCGATCCTCCCAACCTCGGCCACCCAAAGTGCTGGGGTTACAGGTGTGAGCCACCGCCCCCGGCCCTAGGTGCTTTTTAAATGCACTTACCCTCAGCCATTTCACTAGATGTATGTGCAAGCAGATTCGTGGCATCTATGTTTTTTTGGCAAGAAAACTAGGAGCGCCCATGGGCGTGGGAGCACGCACCTGTGGTCTCAGCTGCTTTGGAGGCCGAGGAGGGAGGATCGCTTGGGGCAGAGAGGTTGGGGCAGAGAGGTCGAGGCTGCAGCAAGCCGTGGTCCTGCCACTGTACTCCAGCCTGGGCGACAGAGCGAGACCCCGTCTCGAAAAATTAAGGCCAGACGCGGTGGCTCACGCCTGTAATCCCAGCACTTTGGGAGGCCCAGTCGAGCAGATCACTTCAGGTCGGGAGTTCGAGACCAGCCTGGCCAACATGGCGAAACCCCGTCTCTACTAAAAATACAAAAATTAACCGGGCGTGGTGGCGGGCGCCTTTAATCTCAGCTACTTGAGAGGCTGAGGCAGGAGAATCGCTTGAACCCGGGAAGCGGAGGTTTTGGTGAGCCGAGATCGCGCCATTGCACTCCAGCCTGGGCAACAAGAGCGAAACTCCGTCTCAAAAAAAAAAAAAAAAAAGAACTAGGAGCAAACTGGCGCGCCGGCAGAACGCCGTTGTGCAGGCGCAGATTTAAGATCGCGCCAGATGGAATGAAAAAGCAAGGAGCAGAAGATGGGTGGGAGCCCACTGCGCTTTTAAAAAGCTGCATGTCTGCTTAGAGAACACACAAATCCTGGCACACAAAGCAGTAGCACCCGAGGGAGGCGAACTCCCGCGTTTCACACCTGCTTCTCGCCCGCTGCGCACGCGCTTCACCCTCGCCCAGTGCGCACACGCTTCACCCTCGCCCAGTGCGCACGCGCGTTGCTACCCGCCGGACCCCGCAGGCGCGGTGAATCGAACGTCGAGCACGGCGGCGGGCGGTGTGGAGTGCTGAGCGGCCTCACCCCCAACCGTCGGCCCAGTAGGACGGTTCCGAGGCGTTGCCCGGCGCCGGGAGCGGCTCTGCCTGGACTCGGAGAAACGCGGGTACGTTTGGGGACACCGGGGACGACAGCCCAGCCCGGACTCGGGAGAGTCAGTGCGGGACGAGGGCGTCCAAGTCTTGCCGGAGCCGGGGGCGGGGTTCCGGCCCGGGCAGGTGCGGTGTTCGGCCGACAGAGCCCCGAAGAAAGAATCCGCGGCGCGTGCAGCCCTAGGGAGGAAGAGTGTGCCGCGGGTGCAGCCTCAGGGTGAGGACGGAGCTGGGGCCGACGCAGCCTCGGGAGTTGGTGGCCGGGACAGGTGCGGCCTGTGGGGAAGAAGGGCCTACCAGGAGAGGAGGTATTCCCAGGACAGGTGGGACCTTTTGGGAGAAAGGCGCTCAAGGCAGGTGCAGCTTAGGGAGGGAAAGGCGCGTCCAGGGTAGATGGGGCCTGAGGATGCCAGCGGGGCGCCAGCGGCCAGAAGCGGCTTTGGTGTGAGACAGGATGCCCCAGGGCTGATGCAGCCTCAAGAGAAGCGGCGCTCAAGGGAAGATGAAGCCCGGAGGAGAACGTGGAGGCGGAGGGTGCAAATGCACCCTTCAGGCGAGAAAGGGAGCACCTGGGGATGATGTGCCGCTGGAAGAGAAGGCAGGGAGGCACTGGGGACAGATGCATCCTTGAGGAGAGATAAGGAGGCCTCGAGGCTCGGCCAGGTTGGGGTCCCTGGGCCGAGCAGCTGAGATGGCACCCAGGAGCTGCCCAGGGTCAGAGAGCTGTGGTGTGGGCTCCTGGTCGTCGGGGAGGGAGGGGAGAAACCCTGGCATTCCTTAGCGGTGTTCTCGCTCCCAAGACGTGCTCAGCAGGTTTTATGGAATGAGTTGTTGACAGGAGTGGATGTCCAGTCCTGAGATCCCCTGAATTCCCGCCCGAGTTCACTGCTAGTGCCCCTCACCCCACATGTCTACCTCAACCAAGACTCCAGGAACTGAGGCCTTTCTTAGCAGCCCGGCTGTGCTGTGGTTCTCTCAGCGCGCGTCTGGGAGCCAGGTGGCTGGGGATTCCTTTTGCAGCTTCTCGTGAGCCCTCATTGACCACGGCTTCTCCCTTCTTTTCTAGGGCATCTGCCTGAGCCCACTTTTCTACAAGATGTGGGGATTTTTGAAGCGCCCTATAGTGGTGACGGCTGACATCAACTTGAGCCTCGTGGCCCTGACTGGGATGGGGTTACTGAGCCGGCTGTGGCGACTCACGTACCCGCCGGCTGTGGTGTAAGCTAAGTGACTCCATTCCCAGGGTGAATCTGGAATTGTACTTTGTGATAGGGGGAGCCTTACTGAAGAGCATAAATGAGAGAGTGAAATCCTGGCTTTTTGGTGATAGATGTTTTTGGCAGTGAGACGAGAGGCCAGTCTGTCCCCAGGACAGCCCCAGCAGAGTACACCTTTTAGGTCTTGCCTTCTGGGTCTGTAGCAGGTGAAATTTGGCCCATTAAATGGGTGCAGTAGAGGAAAATCTGGTTGCCAACCTTGGGTAACAGTTTTAAAGTCTGGGCGGCAGAGGATTGATGGATTTGGAAGTGAGTCTTCACTGTTGAGAGTGCTCAGAATGTGTTTTTGTCATAATGGGAAGTGATTGCTGTTATTATTGCAGGGCTCTTTATTAACTGATTAATGCGTGTTTTTTGTTTTTTGTTGTTTTTTTTTTTTTGAGACGGAGTCTCACTCTGTCGCCCAGGCTGGAGTGCAGTGGCGCGATCTCGGCTCACTGCAAGCTCCGACTCCCAGGTTCATACCATTCTCCTGCCTCAGCCCCTTGAGTAGCTGAGACTACAGGCGCCTGCCACCACTCTGGGCTAAGTTTTTGTATTTTTAGTAGAGACAGGGTTTCACCGTGTTAGCCAGGATGGTCTCGACCTCCTGACCTTGTGATCCGCCCGCCTCGGCCTCCCAGAGTGCTGGGATTACAGGCATGAGCCACCGTGCCCAGCCATTTTTTGTTCTTGTTTTTGTTTTTGAGATGGAGCCTTGCTTTGTCGCCCAGGTTGGAGTGCAGTGGGGCCATCTCAGCTCACTGCAGCCTCTGCCTCCTGGGTTCAAGTAATTCTCTGCTTCATCCTCCTGAGTAGCTGGGATTTATAGGTATCCGCCACCACGGCTGGCTAATTTTTGTATTTTTAGTAGAGACGGGGTTTTACCATCTTGGCCAGGCTGGTATTGAACTCCTGACCTCATGATCTACCCACCTCGGTCCCCCAAAGTGTTAGGATTACAGGCGTGAGCCACTCCGCCCTGCTGCATGTTCTTTTTTAACCTTTTATTATGGAAAACGTCAATCACATACAAAAGCAGGGAGACGAGTATAATGAATGACCCCCACACACACCAGTATATTCATTACCCAGCTTCACCTTGTCAGTTCACAGCCAGACCCCTCCCTGCAGTGGATTTTACTTTGAAGCAAATCCTAGACATACTGTATTCATAGAAAATTCAGCGGTATATCTGTAAAAGATGAAAATTCTTTTTTTTTTTTTTTTTTTGAGACAGAGTCTCACTCTGTCATCCAGGCTGTAGTGCAATGGTGCGATCTTGGCTCACTGTAACCTCTGCCTCCTGGCTTCAAGGGATTCTCCTACCTCAGCCTCCTGAGTAGCTGGGATTACAGGCACCTGCCATCATGCCTGGCTAATTTTTGTATTTTTAGTAGAGAAGGGGTTTCACCGTATTGGCCAGGCTGGTCTCGAACTCCTGACCTTGTGATTCACCTGCCTTGGCCTCCCAAAGTGCTGAGATTACAGGCGTGAGCTACTGTGCCTGGCTGAGGATTCTTTTTTTTTTTTTTTTTTTTTTTGAGACGGAGTCTCGCTGTGTCGCCCAGGCTGGAGTGCAGTGGCCGGATCTCAGCTCACTGCAAGCTCCGCCTCCCGGGTTCACGCCATTCTCCTGGCTCAGCCTCCCGAGTAGCTGGGACTACAGGCGCCTGCCACCTCGCCCGGCTAGTTTTTTGTAGTTTTTAGTAGAGACGGGGTTTCACAATGTCAGCCAGGATGGTCTCGATCTCCTGACCTCGTCGTGATCCGCCCGTCTCGGCCTCCCAAAGTGCTGGGATTACAGGCTTGAGCCACCGCGCCCGGCCGAGGATTCTTAAAAACAAAAATCATATAACCACAGTTGTATTATCATGCCTGAGAAATTTACGGTGGTTTCTTGGTTATCTTCACCTTTCCCTAATTGAAGACATGTTATTGCAGTTAATTCCCACGTTTCCCTTTCATACTTGGAACCGTTTTGTTGGGTCATCAGGTCTGATCACCACAGACACATGCTGCTGGTGGGGGTGGGGGTGGGGGTGGGCGGCAGGATTAGCCTCGTGTCCCGGCAGGTCTTTCAGCAGGTTGGCTCATAGTATCCACCGAAATCAAACACGAGGGAGAGACAGAATCTGTATGGGGCAGGCATGCTGAGTGCCAGCTGTGCTTGGGGAATTCTCCATGTCTCTGTGGGTGGGTGATGCTGTATGCATCTTCATATCTGGGGATGAGAAACAGTTGGGGCAAAAGATCCAGCCTTTGCTGATCACCCATCCAGAGTCGTTTGGAAATACATAGACATTTATCCTCACACTTTTTGTTTACAGTTAAGATTCTAATTGAGGCCGGGTGCGGTGGCTCAAGCCTGTAATCCCAGCACTTTGGGAGGCCGAGACGGGCGGATCACGAGGTCAGGAGATCGAGACCATCCTGGCTAACATGGTGAAACCCCGTCTCTACTAAAAAATACAAAAAACTAGCCGGGCGAAGTGGCGGGCGCCTGTGGTCCCAGCTACTCTGGAGGCTGAGGCAGGAGAATGGCGTGAACCCGGGAGGTGGAGCTTGCAGTGAGCTGAGATCCGGCCACTGCACTCCAGCCTGGGCGACAGAGCCAGACTCAGTCTCAAAAAAAAAAAAAAAAAAAAAAAAGATTCTAATTGAATATAACATGGGTTTTTTTTTTTTCCAGTTTTGACGAAGTGTATTATGGGCAGTACATCTCTTTTTACATGAAACGAATCTTCTTCTTGGATGACAGTGGGCCGCCATTTGGCCACATGGTGCTGGCCTTGGGAGGTAGGAATCATCAGTTAGGAGAGTAGCCCCTGCCCCTCAGGACCTCAAATACATTGAAAACTTATCAGTGCATCTCTTACGGGCAGAATCCAGGACTTATTATTGATGCATCTTGTTGATTGCTTACCACAGTACTCTAGAAATGTTTGCTGAATGGGATAGTTACTGATTAATCTTCTGTTTCAGGTTATTTAGGAGGATTCGATGGCCATTTTTTGTGGAACAGAATTGGAGCAGGTAAAAGATAATTTTCATTTCCCTTATTAATGTGCACAGGTTAGAATGGAGAGATTGTGGTTTTTGTAGGGATTAACAACTGTGGCTTTTTTTTTTCCTTTCATACCTAGTCCCGTAGAAACTGTGCCTTACTAATCTGAGTCCAGAAAATAATAAATTGGTTGTATACAAATGAAAGACTTTTGAAAAGTCTGGTTAAAACCTTAGTGTTTAGTTACAGTCATTATTTTCGCCCTTGTTTTTGGTACACGTATTATGTAGCATCTGATTGCAATTATCTTTTTACAGGTAAATTTTGTACATTGCCACAATGTTTTTGAAAATAGGGAGGGTAAATGTATAAGTAAGCCAGTAATTTTAGAATCCTTAGTCCTTTCTATGCTTCATGAGATCGGGTTCCGTGACTATGCGAAGCTCATTGTAAAGCCCTCACCCATAGTGTATGCACTGCGCTGCTGATGTGGTCCCCAGTTTTGTAAATGTGCATTTTAGAGTCTGTGAACGTGATGGCGCTGTGTGAAAACACAGCTGCCGTACATGGAGATGGTGTGTGCACAGTGCAGTCAGCTCTGCAGTGTGGTTGCTTTTCCAGAATACAGTAGCAACGTGCCCGTGTGGTCCCTGCGCCTGCTGCCAGCGCTTGCGGGGGCCTTGTCTGTCCCCATGGCCTACCAGATAGTGCTGGAGCTCCACTTTTCTCATTGTGCCGCCATGGGAGCTGCTCTGTTGATGCTTATCGGTAAGACCTGGGCCCCTACTTGTTCTTGCTGTCATCCAGGGAAGAACTGACCCTCTGGCCCAGAAGATCACGTGGGCGTGGTGGGTGAACTGCACCGAAAAGTGTACCTGGTTCATCCAGATTTGGCGCTGCCAGTCACCCACTCCCAGGCTGGCCCCATGGCTACGGGGTTGCTGAATTGTGGGATCAGACTCTTCTCAGCAGTCGGGGTATGGCAGTAGAAAACTGCCCAGATGATGCTGCAAAGTCCATGCACACGTGGGCACCTCCATCTCCAACCAATCCTGTGACCAAATGATAACTCCCCTTGTTCCACCCGTCCCGGGCCTTGGCCAACTGAGATGGACTCGTGAGTCGGCGGGTCCTCTTCAGGGAGGGTCTTCCAGCTCACGTGTATGAACAGATGAAATTAAAGCAGATGAAAAGTTAGATTAGGCCGGGCGCGGTGCCTCACACCTATCATCCCAGCACTTTGGGAGGCTGAGGCAGGTGGCTCACGAGCCCAGGAGTTCAGGACCAACCTAGGCAAGATAGTAAGACTGCATCTGTACAAAAAATAAAAAAAGGGTCGGGCGCGGTGGCTCAAGCCTGTAATCCCAGCACTTTGGGAGGCCGAGGCGGGTGGATCACAAGGTCAGGAGTTTGAGACCCGCCTGGCCAACATGGTGCAACCCCGTCTAAAAATACGAAAAATACAAAAAATTAGCTGGGTGTGGTGGCAGGTGCCTGTAATCCCAGCTACTTGGGAGGCTGATGCAGGAGAATTGCTTGAACCCAGGGGGTGGAGGTTACAGTGAGCCAAGACTGCGCCAGTGAACCCCAGCCTGGGTGACAGAGTACGACTCTATCTCCAAAAAAATAAGCCGGTCATGGTGGCTTATGTGAGCCTGTAATCCTAGCACTTTGGGAGGCCAAGGGGGGTGGAACACAAGGTTAAGAGATCGAGACCATCCTGGCCAGCATGGCGAAACCCTGTCTCTACTAAAAATACAAAATTTAGCTGGGCGTGATGGCGCGCACCTTTTGTCCCAGCTACTCAGGAGCCTGAGGCAGGAGGATCCCTCGAGCCCTGGTAGTCAAAGCTGCAGCGAGCCATGATGGTGCCACTGCACTCCAGGCTGGGCAACAGAGCAAGACCCTGACTCAAAAAAAAAAAAAAGACAGTAGAAAATGAAAAAGATGTGTATTGGGTGATGACTGTAAGAGGCCCTGTGCTATAGAATGTGTTAACATTCACGACAGCCCCACATAGTTGTATCGCTTCTGAAGTATGCGTTTTTTCATGAATGTTTTTATCCTCATATATTTTCCCTTGCTACCTTAAAATTGACACGTATTTCCTCTTTGAAACAGAGAATGCTCTCATCACTCAGTCAAGGCTAATGCTTTTGGAATCAGTGTTAATATTTTTTAATCTATTGGCCGTGTTGTCCTACCTGAAGTTCTTCAATTGCCAAAAGCACAGGTATGGAAAATGGAGTGTCTTCCTAATTAACAAAAACAGAGATTCTGGGTGGTTTGTTGACCTGAGATGGTCCAGTACCTTTTTTTGTTTTGTTTTGTTTTGTGAGACAGTACCTTTTCATTTTGAGGAGTTGCTTGCTAAATATCTTTTTTTTTTTTTTTTTTTTTTTTTGAGACGGAGTCCCTGTCCCCCTAAATATCTTTTTTTTTTTTTTTGAGACAGAGTCCCTGTCACCCAGGCTGGAATGTAATGGCACAATCTCGGCTCACTGCAACCTCCGCTTCCCAGGTTCAAGCAATTCTCCAGCCTCAGTCTCCCAAGTAGCTGAGATTACAGGCACACAGCACCGTGTCTGGCTAATTTTAGTATTTTTAGTAGAGACGGAGTTTCACCATATTGGCCAGGCTGGTCTCGAACTCCTGACCTCAGGTGATCCACCGTCTTGGCCTCCCAAAGTGCTGTGATTACAGGCGTGAGCTTCTGCGCCTAGTGCTAGATATGTTTTGGTCCTCTAGTATTTTGGGGGTTGGCCCTTGGCTTGTGACTTCATAAATACATCTTCATTTTTTCTGTAATTTAAACTAACAGGGCAAAATTTTCTGGGCAAAAAGAAAAATTCTGCTGGGCCAGATACTTTGGGAGATGGGAATTCTTTCTTATTGCACCTGGGGCTCAGCATGGCCAGCTGACCCAGAAAGATTTCTCTGAGGAATGTGGAGCTTCTCTAGCCTTTTGGAAATGTGTCTGAACTATTCCTGTCTCCATCTGCTCTGTTTGTATTCCAGCCCTTTTTCTCTGAGCTGGTGGTTCTGGCTAACACTGACAGGGGTTGCTTGTTCCTGCGCAGTGGGGTGAGTTCAAGCCTCTGGTCTTGGTTAGTGTCCTCCTCCTCCTCCTCCTCCTCCTCCTCCTCGTGTTTTCCTGTCTCATGTTAACTCCATTCCTGTCATGTCTTTGCAGCATCAAGTACATGGGTATGTTCACATACGTGCTCATGCTGGCGGTTGCAGCTGTCCATGCCTGGCACCTAATTGGAGACCAGACTTTGTCCAACGTAGGTGCTGACGTCCAGTGCTGCATGAGGCAGGCCTGTGTGGGGCAGATGGGGATGTCACAGGGGGTGCTTGGTGAAAAGACTCAAATCCTCAATGTTTCAGAAGCAGGCAGGCCTGGGCAGCCTCGCCTGTCAGCCTCTGCACGTGCCTCTGTATGGGAGGCCAGTGTCTTTCAGTAACTTTTCCTAAGCTCATAATGTTTAGAGGTGGGTGCACTTTTCCACGTCGTAGGGCGTGACTTTTCTTTGAATCTCTGGCAGGTCTGTGTGTTCTGTCACTTGCTTGCCCGAGCAGTGGCTTTGCTGGTCATCCCGGTCGTCCTGTACTTACTGTTCTTCTACGTCCATTTGATTCTGCTCTTCCGCTCTGGGCCCCACGACCAAATCATGTCCAGTGCCTTCCAGGCCAGCTTAGAGGTAAGTAAGCAGTGGGCATCGTGGCTACTGGAGGAGCAAGATGATAGTGGACCCAGAGTTTTCTTAGAAACACATCAAGTGAACATTAGCCCTTGAATCAAGAAATGAGGTATCCACATCCATATTTCTTTTTTTGGCAGCGGGGGATGGCGTCTTACTCTGTCACCCAAACCCCGCCTCCTGAGTTCAAGCGATTCTCCTACCTCAGCCTCCCAAGTAGCTGGGATTACAAGCACCTGCAACCGGTTAATTTTTTTGTTTTGTTAGTAGAGATAGGGTTTCACCATGTTGGCTAGGCTGGTCTGGAACTCCTGACCTCAAGTGATCCACCCGCCTCAGCCTCTCAAAGTGCTGGGATTGCAGGAGTGAGCCACCGTGCTCCGCAGCTGGGAGCGTTTTAAAGTCAAGTCCTGCAAACCCTGGGCAGTTTCACCCGCCTTAAGGACCACACTCAACTGTGACCTTCATTCCTATGAACCTCGCAGCAGTGGTAGAAGGTATCAGTAGAGGCGGTCAGGACTGTGGTTCCCGAAGTCAACCAAGCCTGCCGACGGCCAGTGCTATAGTGCTGTGTGTTTCAGCAAGTTGTTTGGCTCACCCCAGTCTTGGTCTTCTCATCTCTTAGGCAGACATCATCATTGCTCTTACCTCATAGGATGCTGGTACGGACTGAATAGGGTGCGTGTGGAAGGCTGAACTGAGTGGCCCAGAGGCAGCATTTGATCAAACTTAGCGCTCATTATGGTTCTATAATGTAACATGACGTGATTAAATGGTAGATCATTACCAGTATTACAAGAATGGCCACTAGCCTGAACATCACTCCAGAGGGAGGAGTGGCCATCGGGAAGGCTGGCTTAGGGGCATTTTTCTTTCTGTCTCTCACTCATCAACCTTCTGCTTCTGTCTCAGGGAGGACTAGCTCGGATCACCCAGGGTCAGCCGCTGGAGGTGGCCTTTGGGTCCCAGGTCACTCTGAGGAACGTCTTTGGGAAACCTGTGCCCTGCTGGCTGCATTCCCACCAGGACACCTACCCCATGATGTAAGGACAGTGATGGTTTTACTTTTAAGATTTATTTGCTCATAGATTTGCTTATCTTAGCAACTCTCCCTTTCTTTGAGGAAGTCTGTTTGCAAGACAGAAGGAAGTTGAGCAGCCCGGGTGTTGATTGCCAGTGAGCTTTGTGGTTCCCGGGTGTTGCTGGAGGGACTTGGCATGTGGCGGGGCCCAGGGTCGGCCCCAGCTCTGTGGCTGTGGCTGACCTCAGCACTGCCTGCCTAAATTATCTGATTTCAGCTCCTTATCTGTGGTATCTTCATTTTCCCTGAAACCCCTTGCTAGGTCGTATTTGTTGAAATCTGCTTCCCTTTTGCAGAAACTTTAGGAGAAAGGCTTGTGGGCCCGATCCATGACCCACTTCCAGATACGTTTCTTTCCCTTTCTTATATTTTTTTCACAAATAGGGATCTCACTCTGTTGCCCAGGCTGGTCTCAAACTCCTGGGCTCAAGCAGTTATCCTAAGTCAGCCTCCCAAAGTGCTCTGATTACAGGCGTGAGCCACCGCACCTGGCCCAGATACATCTCTTTGTTGACTTCACACAGATATGAGAACGGCCGAGGCAGCTCCCACCAGCAGCAGGTGACCTGTTACCCCTTCAAAGACGTCAATAACTGGTGGATTGTAAAGGATCCCGGGAGGTGAGTGCAGGTCCTGCGACTCCAGAGCAGAGCTCACGTCCTGGCCTGTCCAGGCAAGACCCTGGGACACAGTCCTGGGCCCCCTTCTTTCCCTCCCTCACTGACTCTAGTCACCATCACAGCCTTGAACGCCAGCTCAGTGCTAAGTCTGAGGTCGGGGAGGAGGTCATGAGATCCTCAGTAAGCAGCCTGCTCAGTAGCTGTTCTGAGTTTCCAGGCGAGCCCCAGTGCCCCGACCTGTGTCCCTCTCCCTTCCTCATAAAAACAAGAACCCCCCTCCTGCAAAAGTAGCATCATCGGCCGGGCACGGTGGCTCAAGCCTGTAATCCCAGCACTTTGGGAGGCCAAGACGGGCGGATCACGAGGTCAGGAGATCGAGACCATCCTGGCTAACACGGTGAAACCCCGTCTCTACTAAAAAATACAAAAAACTAGCCGGGCGAGGTGGCGGGCGCCTGTAGTCCCAGCTACTTGGGAGGCTGAGGCAGGAGAATGGCGTGAACCCGGGAGGCGGAGCTTGCAGTGAGCTGAGATCTGGCCACTGCACTGCAGCCTGGGCGACAGAGCGAGACTCCATCTCAGAAAAAAAAAAAGTATCATCATCCTGCACATACCCCAGCTAGAGGCGCCCCTCGCTCTCACCCCCACATCCAGTCCTGTGGATTCTGCCCCCAAACCAGGTCTCTAGCCGTCTCGGTCACTGTCTCCCTATGGTGTCCTTCCATTGCTGCCTGCCCAACTCCAGCACCTGCAGCCCAAGTGGGCTTTTTTTTTTTCTTCGTTTTTTGTGGGGGGACAGAGTCCCACTCTGTCACCCAGGCTGGAATGCAGTGGTACCATCTCAGCTCACTGCAACCTCCACCTCCCAGGTTCAAGCGTTTCTCCTGCCTCAGCCTCCCGAGTAGATAAGATTATAGGCTTGTGTCACCACGCCCTGGTAATTTTTGTATTTTTAGTAGAGATGGGCTTTCACCATGTTGGCCAGGCTGGTCTTGAACTCCTGACCTCAAGTGGTCCACCCAGCTCAGCCTCCCTAAGTGCTGGGATTCCAGGCGTGAGCCTCGGCCCCCGGGCCCCTCATACACTTTGGTTGGTGGAATGCCCCTCAGCAGGATTCCCTGGCAGTCATGGTACATTTATCACTGTAGTGTTTGTAGACAAATTCAGAGCAATGCAGGTGTGATGACTGCGGGTGGAATCACATTTGGAAAGTGACCTTTGGTTTCAGAAAAGAGCTCAATTAATGTCTGTGCTTTGGTTTCCTGTGTTCACCTCATGTGAGGCACACATGGGTTGGGAGGCAGTCTCGGCCATCAGAATTCAGAGCTCGTGTCCCTCCGGTGCAGCTGTTGGTTCCGGGGGACGAGGCTCTGCGTGGTCCCAACAGCACTGTGTCTTCCAGGCACCAGCTGGTGGTGAGCAGCCCTCCGAGACCCGTGCGGCACGGGGACATGGTGCAGCTGGTCCACGGCATGACCACCCGCTCCCTGAACACGTGAGTGTGCCCGCCGTCTGCTCTGCGGCACCCGTGGGTTTCCTCTGTGATTCTCTGTTCAGACCAAAACGTCAGCCCTGGCTCGGGCCACTGCCACGTGTCTCCCCCTCATCTGCACGTGTAGCAGCTCTTAGATCTACATTTGTTGCTGGGAGGGGACCCAGGCCTGGCCGCGGAAGGGAGGGGGTTAAGAGGAAGCAGAGGCTCTGTGAGGATTGGACAGAAGCACTTAGCACAGCCCATCCTGGGAGAGCTCGGGGCCCAGTGGACGAGTGTACAAGGACGGGCTGGGAATGTTGACCCGCTTTCTACACAGAGAATGGAGTTGGGGCGCACCTCCATCAAGTGGTGAAGCTTAAAGCATGAGTGAGTCCAAGAAGCCTGGAAGTTGGGGCACGAGTGGAGCCGTGAAGGCTTCTTCCCTCCTAGTCCTTCGTCCTTGTCCGACTTGCCTTCCCGTGGCGCTGGGCACAGTTGATCATACCCTCCTCCTCCTCCCCGACTGCTCTCTCCACTGCCTCCTCTTCCTCTGTTGCTCTCAGTCTCTGAGAGCCTCTGGCCTTGCCGCCTCTGCACAGGCCCAGTCCTGGGGCTGCCTCTCCTGGACTTCCACCTGGCTGCCCGGGACTCACCTCAAGCTCTCCACGACTCCCACCTCCACAGGGACAGTCACTGGCCCTGGCTCTTCTGGTTCTCCCTTGAAAGGGCCCAGTAGCTGAGGCATCACCTGGCTCCTTCCCTTCCTCTCCCATCGAATGTTGATTCCATTGGGAGATCCTGTTTCTCAAACTTCAGAACCAGCCCTAGGTAGGGGTCCGTCCTTCTCCCTCCACTCCCACCTCCGGGGGCCTGACCTCTCCACCTTGCAGCAGCCCGCTCTGTGCTCAGTGACTCCCGTCATGCTCAGTTCTCCCACCGAGGCCCCTGGTGACCCTGACATGCTTTGCCCCCGCCACCCTGGCTCCCTCCTAGCCCTGAAACGACCACCTGCAGGCCCCTTAGGGCCTTCACACTTGCTCCCTCTGCGGGAATGTTCTTGGACTTGGCTCCCCCATGGCCCACTCTATGTAGGGGTCTGCTGGGATGTCACCACATCAAAAAGTGCCTCTTGGGTGCTGTCCCCCGCCATTTGTTTTATTAGTGGCACTCTCACAGCTGCATGCTCTGCCTACCAGCATGATGGCTGTTTCCCAGTTGGCTGTGAGGGCCGCATCTTGTTCACAGCGGGGTGGCTGCTCCTAGACAGTGCCAGGTGCATGGTGCGGTACAACATGGTTACTGATTAAAGGAACCAGGTGCTCCTGGCTGGGCACGGTGGCTCACGCCTGTAATCCCAGCACTTTGGGAGGCCCAGGCAGGCAGATCATTTGAGGTCAGGAGTTGGAGACCAGCTGGGCCAACATGGTGAAACCCCGTCTCTACTAAAAATACAAAAATTAGCCAGGCATGGCGGCACATGCCTGTAGTCCCAGCTAGTCAGGAGGCTGAGGCAGGAGAATCGCCTGAACTCAGGAGGCAGAGGTTGCATTGAGCCGAGATCACGCCATTTGCACTCCAGCCAGGGTGACAGAGTGAGACTGTCTCAAAAAAAAAAAAAAAGTGGGTGTTCGTGAACATTAAGGTTGATAGCCTTTTCTCCCGGCATAACTGCTGCGTCCCCAGGCCAGCTGGGCGCAGGAGCGGGCAGCTCAGCCCTGCAAGTTGTAGCATTGGTACTGCCAGCTGGCATCGCAGCAGTACCGGGTCAGGGGCCTAGGCTTGCGGTTCCTTCCTCCGAAACTTGGTTTGCTCGTCTAACAGGTGGAACGTTCCACAGCAGAGTGTCCTTTTCCCCTGGAAATGTTCCCGCAGGGCCTCCTGCCTGTTTAGCGTCCATTCCCATTGCTGAGCCTCAAGATCTCTGTCCTCAGTCGCAGCGACTCATGGGACCAGGCCACCCCTTATGGCTGAGCTGGCTTTGTTTCTGAAAAGCAACCTTTTCCCCCCTGACAGATTTAGTAAGTGCCTTCCAGAGGAGTTCAAGGAATTCCTTCTGAAATCTCAGTCTCGGTTTTCTAGGCATGATGTTGCAGCCCCTCTGAGTCCCCATTCACAGGAGGTCTCCTGCTACATTGACTATAATATCTCCATGCCCGCCCAGAACCTCTGGAGACTGGTGAGTAAGGCTGCGGCTAGAGCAACCACAGCCATCAGTAATGAACACTCCCTCACACAAAGCACCTCCTCACCCGGATCACTTCCTGACACAGCATTTCCTCACCTGGAGCACTTCCTCACGTGGAGGACTTCCTCACACAGAGCACTTCCTGACACAGCACTTCCTCATGTGGAGCACTTCCTCACGTGGAGCACTTCCTCTAACACAGACACTTCCTCACACGGAGCACTTCCTCACAAGGAGCGCTTCCTCTAACAGAACACTTTCTTACACGGAACACTTCCTCCCACGGAGCACTTCCCTACACGGAGCACTTCCTCTAACACAGAACACTTCCTCACACGGAGCACTTCCTCTAACACAGAACACTTCCTCACACGGAGCACTTCCTCACACGGAGCACTTCCTCACAAGGAGCACTTCCTCTAACACAACACTTCCTCACACGGAGCACTTCCTCTAACACAGAACATTTCCTCACATGGAGCGCTTCCTGACATGGAGCGCTTCCTCTAACACAGAACACTTCCTCACACGGAGCACTTCCTCACACAGAACACTTCCTCACACGGAGCACTTCCTCTGACACAGAACACTTCCTCACACGGAGCACTTCCTCTGACACAGAACACTTCCTCACACGGAGCACTTCCTCTAACACAGAACACTTCCCCACACGGAGCACTTCCTCTAACACAGAACACTTCCTCACACGCACGGAGCACTCCCTCACACGGAGCACTTTCTCACAAGGAGCGCTTCCTCTAACAGAACACTTCCTCACACGGAGCACTTCCTCCAACACAGAACACTTCCTCACACGGAGCACTTCCTCCAACACAGAACACTTCCTCACACGGAGCATTCCTCTAACACAGAACACTTCCTCACACGGAGCACTTCCTCACACGGAGCACTTCCTCTAACACAGAACACTTCCTCACACGGAGCGCTTCCTCTAACACAGAACACTTCCTCACATGGAGCACTTCCTCTGACACAGAACACTTCCTCACACGGAGCGCTTCCTCTAACACAGAACACTTCCTCACACGGAGCACTTCCTCTGACACAGAACACTTCCTCACACAGAACACTTCCTCTAACACAGAACACTTCCTCACATGGAGCACTTCCTCACACGGAGCACTTCCTCTAACACAGAACACTTCCTCACACGGAGCACTTCCTCCAACACAGAACACTTCCTCACACGGAGCACTTCCTCCAACACAGAACACTTCCTCACACGGAGCGCTTCCTCACACGGAGCATTCCTCTAACACAGAACACTTCCTCACACGGAGCACTTCCTCACATGGAGCACTTCCTCTAACACAACACTTCCTCACACGGAGCACTTCCTCTGACACAGAACACTTCCTCACACGGAGCACTTCCTCTGACACAGAACACTTCCTCACACGGAGCACTTCCTCTGACACAGAACACTTCCTCACACGGAGCGCTTCCTCTGACACAGAACACTTCCTCACACGGAGCGCTTCCTCTGACACAGAACACTTCCTCACACGGAGCGCTTCCTCTGACACAGAACACTTCCTCACACGGAGCGCTTCCTCTGACACAGAACACTTCCTCACACGGAGCGCTTCCTCTGACATAGAACACTTCCTCACACGGAGCGCTTCCTCTGACACAGAACACTTCCTCACATGGAGCGCTTCCTCACACGGAGCATTCCTCTAACACAGAACACTTCCTCACACGGAGCACTTCCTCTAACACAACACTTCCTCACACGGAGCACTTCCTCTGACACAGAACACTTCCTCACACGGAGCACTTCCTCTGACACAGAACACTTCCTCACACGGAGCGCTTCCTCTGACACAGAACACTTCCTCACACGGAGCGCTTCCTCTGACACAGAACACTTCCTCACACGGAGCACTTCCTCTGACACAGAACACTTCCTCACACGGAGCCTTCCTCAACACACTTCTCACCGGAGCGCTTCCTCTGACACAGAACACTTCCTCACACGGAGCACTTCCTCTAACACAGAACACTTCCTCACATGGAGCGCTTCCTGACACGGAGTGCTTCCTCTAACACAGAACACTTCCTCACACAGAGCACTTCCTCACACAGAACACTTCCTCACACGGAGCACTTCCTCTAACACAGAACACTTCCTCACACGGAGCGCTTCCTCTAACACAGAACACTTCCTCACACGGAGCACTTCCTCTAACACAGAACACTTCCTCACATGGAGCGCTTCCTGACACGGAGCGCTTCCTCTAACACAGAACACTTCCTCACACGGAGCACTTCCTCACACAGAACACTTCCTCACACGGAGCACTTCCTCTGACACAGAACACTTCCTCACACGGAGCACTTCCTCTGACACAGAACACTTCCTCACACGGAGCACTTCCTCTGACACAGAACACTTCCTCACACGGAGCACTTCCTCACACGGAGCACTTCCTCTAACACAGAACACTTCCTCACACGGAGCGCTTCCTCTAACACAGAACACTTCCTCACACAGAACACTTCGTCACACGGAGCACTTCCTCTAACACAGAACACTTCCTCACACGGAGCACTTCCTCCAACACAGAACACTTCCTCACACGGAGCGCTTCCTCTGACACAGAACACTTCCTCACAGGAGCACTTCCTCACACGGAGCACTTCCTCACACAGAACACTTCCTCACACGGAGCACTTCCTCCAACACAGAACACTTCCTCACACGGAGCACTTCCTCCAACACAGAACACTTCCTCACACGGAGCGCTTCCTCTGACACAGAACACTTCCTCACACGGAGCACTTCCTCTGACACAGAACACTTCCTCACACGGAGCACTTCCTCTAACACAGAACACTTCCTCACACGGAGCACTTCCTCACACGGAGCACTTCCTCTAACACAGAACACTTCCTCACATGGAGCGCTTCCTGACACGGAGCACTTCCTCTAACACAGAACACTTCCTCACACAGAGCACTTCCTCACACAGAACACTTCCTCACACGGAGCACTTCCTCTGACACAGAACACTTCCCCACACGGAGCACTTCCTCTAACACAGAACACTTCCTCACACGCACGGAGCACTTCCTCACACGGAGCACTTTCTCACAAGGAGCGCTTCCTCTAACAGAACACTTCCTCACACGGAGCACTTCCTCCAACACAGAACACTTCCTCACACGGAGCACTTCCTCCAACACAGAACACTTCCTCACACGGAGCACTTCCTCCAACACAGAACACTTCCTCACACGGAGCATTCCTCTAACACAGAACACTTCCTCACACGGAGCACTTCCTCACATGGAGCACTTCCTCTAACACAGAACACTTCCTCACACGGAGCGCTTCCTCTGACATAGAACACTTCCTCACACGGAGCGCTTCCTCTGACACAGAACACTTCCTCACACGGAGCGCTTCCTCACACGGAGCATTCCTCTAACACAGAACACTTCCTCACACGGAGCACTTCCTCTAACACAACACTTCCTCACACGGAGCACTTCCTCTGACACAGAACACTTCCTCACACGGAGCACTTCCTCTGACACAGAACACTTCCTCACACGGAGCGCTTCCTCTGACACAGAACACTTCCTCACACGGAGCACTTCCTCACATGGAGCACTTCCTCTAACACAGATCACTTCCTCACATGGAGCGCTTCCTGACACGGAGCGCTTCCTCTAACACAGAACACTTCCTCACACGGAGCACTTCCTCTGACACAGAACACTTCCTCACACGGAGCACTTCCTCCAACAGAGAACACTTCCTCACACGGAGCGCTTCCTCTGACACAGAACACTTCCTCACACGGAGCACTTCCCGACACGGAGCACTTCCTCTGACACAGAACACTTCCTCACACGGAGCACTTCCTCTGACACAGAACACTTCCTCACACGGAGCACTTCCTCTAACACGGAACACTTCCTCACACGGAGCGCTTCCTCTAACACAGAACACTTCCTCACACGGAGCACTTCCTCTGACACAGAACACTTCCTCACACGGAGCACTTCCTCTAACACAGAACACTTCCTCACATGGAGCGCTTCCTGACACGGAGTGCTTCCTCTAACACAGAACACTTCCTCACACAGAGCACTTCCTCACACAGAACACTTCCTCACATGGAGCACTTCCTCTAACACAGAACACTTCCTCACACGGAGCGCTTCCTCTAACACAGAACACTTCCTCACACAGAACACTTCCTCACACGGAGCACTTCCTCTAACACAGAACACTTCCTCACACGGAGCACTTCCTCCAACACAGAACACTTCCTCACACGGAGCGCTTCCTCTGACACAGAACACTTCCTCACACGGAGCACTTCCTCACACGGAGCACTTCCTCACACAGAACACTTCCTCAAACACAGAACACTTCCTCACACGGAGCACTTCCTCCAACACAGAACACTTCCTCACACGGAGCGCTTCCTCTGACACAGAACACTTCCTCACACGGAGCACTTCCTCTGACACAGAACACTTCCTCACACGGAGCACTTCCTCTGACACAGAACACTTCCTCACACGGAGCACTTCCTCACAAGGAGCACTTCCTCACACGGAGCACTTCCTCTAACAGAACACTTCCTCACATGGAGCACTTCCTCACAAGGAGCACTTCCTCACACGGAGCACTTCCTCTAACAGAACACTTCCTCACATGGAGCGCTTCCTCTAACAGAACACTTCCTCACACGGAGCACTTCCTCTAACACAGAACCCTTCCTCACACGGAGCACTTCCTCTAACACAGAACACTTCCTCACACGGAGCACTTCCTCACACGGAGCACTTCCTCTAACACAGAACCCTTTCTCACACGGAGCACTTCCTCACACGGAGCGCTTCCTGACATGGAACGTTTGAAACTGCCATTGAGAATAATCATTTTTCCTTTTGGTTGTAACAATAAAATGGGAAAATGACAGCCATGTGACATCATGGGGTCATTGTAAGGCTCCGGTATGTTAGGCTGTGACAAGGCAAAGAGCCTTTCTGATGTTAGTTGTCTTTTTTATTACTTGATGCAAGGAAATCTCTAAGCTGTGTCTCCCAGGGACAGTGTCTGGCCTTCATTTGAGCCATCTGCGAGTTCTGCCAGATAAGGACTGAGACTTGCTCACTTTTTGGACAGGGCTGTGAGCCCTCTCCATGAATAGGCTTTGCAGAGAGGCACGAAGAACATTAGGCTTTGTATTTTCTGTGAGGAGGCATCTTGTACAGCCTTGGCAAGGAGGAAGGCGCGCTTCCCCAGCGACCCTCGGAGCAGCCCAGGGTGCTGTGGGCATTGGGAAGGAAGACCAGCACCAGCCCCTTGTAGCTCCCCTCACGTTGGGGGCTTGTCCCTTTATCTCAGGCTCAAGTCAGTATCATTGTTTGGTGATAGGTCTTCATTTTCACATTGAAGGAAATTTGAAAAGGAATGAAATAATTCTTGAGATCTCTTTTTGCAGGAAATTGTGAACAGAGGATCCGACACAGACGTCTGGAAGACCATCCTCTCAGAGGTCCGCTTTGTGCACGTGAACACTTCTGCGGTCTTAAAGGTAAGGACACTGTCCTTGGCTTGGCCTGTCCTGAGCTGCAGGCTCCAGTCTGTTCCTGAGCCCCTCAGGCTCCACTGCCTCTCTGCAGGCAGAACGCTTGATTCAAGTCATCGTGGCTTCCCTTTACACTGAGGGAGGGCGGCTTTTGTAACTTCTCGGGATGGAATCCTAAGGTGAAGCTCCCACAAGGGGCACCTGCTGACAGCGTGACCCCGGCAGGGGTTCCCCTTCCAACCCGAGTGGATGTGGGAGTCACAGCCTTCCCATCACGCCCTTTTCTCTCCCGCGGTGTCACCAGCTAAGCGGGGCTCACCTCCCTGACTGGGGGTATCGGCAGCTGGAGATCGTCGGGGAGAAGCTGTCCCGGGGCTACCACGAGAGCATGGTGTGGAACGTGGAGGAGCACCGATACGGCGCGAGTGAGTCCGCGGCGTAGCTTCCGCCACTGGGAATGCGCTTTGAGCTGCTCGATATTTTCGTAACATCCCAAACAGTTCTCATTTTGGTGGGAAGGGAACTGAGCACATTCTCCATGCTCGGTGGCAGGTCATCTCCCTCCCTGCACCCAGCTGCTGTGGTAACAACTCAAGACGCTTCTTCTGAGGTATCGCTGGAAGGCAGCCAGTTTATCCCTGTGCAAGTGGAGCCTTCTCGGTCGAAATCGCCTCATTGGACGGGGTAGTCTTGAGTGTGGCGGGGAAAGCTAAGTGGAGTGATGCGGTTCGATGAGTGGTCTTTGTGGCTGGTTGGAAAGGCAGGAAACCAGCTTCTTTCTGCACTGACAGCTTCTGCTCTGAGCTCTCGACCTTGTGCTACTTCTATCTGTCATGCCCTCGTCTGTTCTGCCAGGCCAGGAGCAGAGGGAGCGGGAACGGGAGCTGCACTCACCTGCGCAGGTGGACGTCAGCAGGAACCTCAGCTTCATGGCGAGATTCTTGGAGCTGCAGGTGAGGAGCGGCCAGGGGAAGCCAGCCTAGCTCACTGAGCACTGACTCCTCAGCTGGGAGGCCTGGGGGCTACACAGGTCTCAAACCAGGTCAGGCTTTGACGCTGGAACCACAGGCTCACCACAGAATGAGTGTCTCCTCTCTCCGGTGTAAGGGACTGTGTGTGACACCCTGGCCCACACCTTGTGGCCCTGTGGTCAGGAATAATATAGGGACCCAGGAGGTTCTGCAACATCGCCAGGGTGTCCTAAGGCCCCCAGGCAGCAAAATGGGCCACACTCAACAGAGCCCAAGAGAAGTCACAGTCAGAAACTCAGGGTCACAAATCCGAACATGACCTCAGAGAGCATTCGGCCTGGTCACTTAGTCTACAGAGGAGGTGGGGCGGCGTTCCCAAGGCCACAGCCAGGGCTAAAATCCAGGTTCTGATCATGCTGCCTCTGACACGTGATCCGAATGAACTTGAGGTGGGACGGTCCGTGTGCAAGGGGCAGCGGTGTACTCCTTTGACCAAATCCACGCACAGCGGGAGGCATCCCCCATCCTCACTCTCAGAGGCCTCTGCTTTGTTCCAGTGGAAGATGCTGGTGCTGAGAAGCGATGACTCGGAACACAAGTATAGCTCCAGCCCGCTGGAGTGGGTCACCCTGGACACCAATATCGCCTACTGGCTGCACCCCAGGACCAGCGTAAGCGAGCAGTGCTGACAGCTGACAGTCATGGATTCATCCTGTTTCTTGAGAATTCCTTCTGGCATTAAGAGCAGCCACTGTACCCTAGAAAGTGCTGGGTTTCTCCAAAGCTTTTCCTGACAAACTTGCTTTTCTGTAAACGCTTTGGCAGCCTGGAGCCAGGAGTAGGGGCGTGGCATGTGTGCCTGCTGAAGGAAACGCGGCTTGATTGCTTTTGTGGAGACACGTTGTTCCCCTTTTCCTGGCGGAAGTGGTTTTAAGATGTTCCCGGCCGGGCGCGGTGGCTCAAGCCTGTAATCCCAGCACTTTGGGAGGCCGAGATGGGCGGATCACGAGGTCAGGAGATCGAGACCATCCTGGCTAACACGGTGAAACCCCGTCTCTACTAAAAATACAAAAAACTAGCCGGGCGAGGTGGCGGGCGCCTGTAGTCCCAGCTACTCCGGAGGCTGAGGCAGGAGAATGGCGTAAACCCAGGAGGCGGAGCTTGCAGTGAGCTGAGATCTGGCCACTGCACTCCAGCCCGGGCTACAGAGCAAGACTCTGTCTCAAAAAAAAAAAAAAAAAAAAAGATGTTCCCATTCGATTTTCTGGGTGGCACCTGGCGGTGGAGCTTACCGGTGCTTCCCTGATGTGCATGCCGTCTCTCTCCACCTGGCAGAGTGAAAGCATTTGTAGGCTGGGCACAGTCAGTGCCCCATACGTATTCACTGGATGGGCAGACACTGGCAATGCCCACCTTTTTCCTCCTCTCTTAGAGGCGGGTAGGTCGACTCAGCACGTGCACCAAAGGCAGAGGTGCAGGCCCAGAGGCCGCCCCACCCTGAGCTCCGAGCGCACTTTGCATTCTCCTCTGCGAACAGTGCTGCTGTTACAAAGCGGAGTCATCTGCTCCTGGTCTTCAGTTTCCAATTACAAAACTGAGAGCATCAGTGCTTTTTTTTTCTTTTTGTGATGGAGTCTTGCTCTGTTGCCCAGGCTGGAGTGCAGTGGTGTGATCTTGGCTCACTGCAACCTCCACCTCCCACGTTCAAGCAATTCTGCAGTTCTCCTACCTCACCCTCCAAGTAGCTGGGATTACAGGTGCCCACCACAATGCCCGGCTAATTTTTGTATTTTTAGTAGAGACAGGATTTCACTGTATTGGGCAGGCTGGTCTCGAACTCCTGACCTCAGGTGATCCATCCACCTCAGCCTCCCAAAGTGCTGGGATTACAGGTGTGCGCCACCGTGCCCGGCTGGCACCAGTGCTTTTAATGAAAGGTCTGAGTAGGCGCAGACCTGTCCACAGTAGTGGTAAGGCCTAGTGGACTCTAGGCTGTGCCTGGCGTGTTTTCACTCGGCTGAAGTAGCGCATGCATCTGAATTCCTTTCCTGTGTTCTCTTCCCTCCCTGAGCATCTTCCATGTTCCTTTAGGCTCAGATCCACCTACTTGGAAACATAGTGATCTGGATTTCAGGCAGCCTCGCCCTGGCCATCTACGCCCTGCTGTCCTTGTGGTACCTGCTCCGACAGCGAAGAAACGTCCATGACCTCCCTCAGGGTTAGTACATCTCCTACATGGCTTTTTTCCTTTTAATATAGAGATGGGGTCTTGCTGTGTTGTCCAGGTTGGTCTTGAACTCCTGGGCTCAAGCCATCCTCCTGCCTCAGCCTCCCACAGTGCTGGGATTACAGGTGTGCGCCACTGCGCCCAGCCCACAGCTCATTTTTATGTCTGTTCCTTCTCTTCCTGCTGAGCGTTCACCACCTCAGGTGACAAACCGACTTCATAGGAACCTACCCCTTAAGGCAGCCTCTTTGTTTCTGTATTGCGGGATCTTAAATTATGTTTGTCTCTTAAGTTCCCATGTTGCGTTAGAGGCACCTCCATTTGAGTGCAGCGTATGGGCCAAGAGTTGCCTCCTTGGTCCCCTGTTGCCCATATGCGCTGGAAATGGCTGGATAACACGGGCAGCCAGGCCGGGCGCAGGGGCTCACGCTTGTAATCCCAGCACTTTGGGAGGCCAAAGTGAAGGAATCACTTGAGGCCAGGAGTTCAAAACCAGCTTCGGCAACATAGTAAGACCCCTGTCTCTAAAAAAGCGAAAGAGAGAGACAAAATCCGGCCTGTGGGAGCAGCAGAGCCGGTGTAGCTCAAACGCTTTCCTGTAGATGCCTGGCTGCGCTGGGTGTTGGCTGGGGCGCTGTGTGCTGGTGGCTGGGCAGTGAACTACCTCCCGTTCTTCCTGATGGAGAAGACACTCTTCCTCTACCACTACCTGCCCGCACTCACCTTCCAGATCCTTCTGCTCCCTGTCGTCCTGCAGCACATCAGCGACCACCTGTGCAGGTACGGGGGCCGCGGAGACAGTGGCTGGACCAGGCAGCAGCCCTCTGCTGGACAGCCCATGTGCAGCAAACACGTGGGGTGCAGCGAACCCCACCCATTTCACGTTACACTGACATCCTCCTGGCCCCTCTGGGGAATGGGTGAGGTTCAGAAGAGATGCCCAGATGAGGCACTGCAGGAACCCAGAGGGAGAAGTCACGGCTGACAGAGATTAAAGCAGAGTGGGTAGTAAGATGGGGAAGGGATGCAGAGATGTGGGCGGCCTGGAGGATTCGGGAGCAGGGAGCAAGGCCCAGGAGCCTCAGGGTGTCAGGAACAGCAGCTGGTTACGGCCGGGTTGTGTGGTGTGGTAGAGAGAACCCAAGAAAACTTCTAAACCGGAGTGTGTTTGGAGGTTGGAGGGCAAGGGCCTCCCGGTCTCAGGAAGCCACACAAGGGAGGACTGTGGGTTTGGGACCAGTCCTCTGGCATCTGTGTGGAGGTGGCCCAGCCGCTGTGGAGGCCTGAGTCGTCAGGGGGGTCCCCTTTCTGTGCATCCAAGCAGGAGATGGTCACAGGTGGTGGGAGACAAGACACAGAAACCTGAAGGCAGAACCCCAGGCCTCGGGGGGCGACTGTGGGGACAGCAGATGCCAAGAGGCTGCTGGACAGGGAAGCCGCAGTGGCCACCCATCCTCCCCCACATTGCTCTGACCTCTGCAGGTCCCAGCTCCAGAGGAGCGTCTTCAGCGCCCTGGTGGTGGCCTGGTACTCCTCCGCATGCCATGTGTCCCACACGCTGCGCCCACTCACCTACGGGGACAAGTCACTCTCGCCACATGAACTCAAGGCCCTTCGCTGGAAAGACAGCTGGGACATCTTGATCCGAAAACACTAGAACAAGAGCGTGGCAAAGAACACCCGAGCTGGGGTCGGGACAAGGTCGAAGGGTCTTGGTCAGTGTAGTTAACAAGCAGGGTGGGCCCTGCACTGGGAGGACATGGGCCGGGCTCATCAGGGCCTCTACTGGAACGCGTGGGGGTCTCATTCTTGAAAAGCCCTCTGATGAGCACCTCCTTTTGTGCAAAGTTCATTTTTTCTCAACAATGAAGATGTTCCCTCCGTGTTTTCACCCCTGAGCTAAGACACAGGGAGTATTTCAGCGGCCAGTGTAGGAGTCATCGATGAAGAAAAGCCGAGAACCCAAGGCCAGCAGTGGAGCAAGTGGCCTCAGCAGACCGGGGCCTGGTCCTTGCTAACCGCTGCAGGGTGGAGTTTGATCTGGCAGACCCGATCCTCCTTCATGAACACCCAGCAACCTGAGCAAGTCCCAGCCCTGCCCTGAGTGAGCCTGGCAGGTGTCCCGGGACAGGCGTCCAGGAGGGCCGCCTGAACAGTGAGCCGGGGCTGGGGCTTGCGAGTCATTCTCTGTGACAGCATCAAGACTGGCCCTCCGCACCATGCTGTGTGGAAACCCTCCTGAGCCTGCCGAGACGGGGCTGAGTGAAATCTTCCTCAGTGGTCAAGGTGTGTGTCATCCATACAGCTCCTTGCCTTTACTTTGTCTTTTTAAATAATTTAAAAAGGGACAAACTGGCATTTGTAGTTGGTGTTATTTATTGATTCTTCCTCCAAAGGGGCCTAAGCTCGACCAAACCGTTACCATTGTCAGAACCCAGCCACAGAGCTCAGCTCCCTTCACCCACGCCATGTCTGCGTCACTACTGTGGGTGAGCCTGGACGGACGGACGGGGGCTGGGGCTGTCCGTGGCAGCAGCAAGTTATGCTTCCCAGAGACAGCCCCATGCGGGAGGATCCACCCAGGCAACCCAGACACGGGTGTTCACACATGAGGCGGCGAGCTCCATACAACACAGAGGAGGCACACTGACTTCAGGCGGCCATGTCTGCGGGGACCTGGGTGATCCAGGTGCCACAGCCAGAGGCACCATTCCCTGCACATGGCCATCAGCCACCCCAGCGTGGGGCAGCCTGTCCAGACAGCACCTTGGGGACTCCCGTGAGGGTCAGCAAGGGCCCGACCCCAGGCAGGACTGTGCATGGACACTGTTCTTCAGCCGGGACAGAACTGGCCTCCGCTGCCTTCTGCCCTGCTGCATGGGCTCCCAGCCTGGCCCCACATGAGCTTGGGTGTGATGCTGGGTGTTCCCGGGGCGCCCGCCTCGCTTCTTTGCCTTTAAGGCACAAGCAAGGAGGGAAAACATCCCTGGGCGGCTCCCCACATCCGTGTAGGCCACGCTGGACTGTGAACCACTGGGCCACGAAATGAGGTTTGTAGGCCACAAGCAGCCTTGTGTTATGTAACAGAGAACAGAAAACATGAGGACATGTAACATGTAAAAAAGGAAAGTACTTGTTCACAAAACTTTTGAGTTACGTGTGTGTGTAAGAACCAGATCAGACTGGAAAAAAACTCTGCCCCTGTGGGTTCACTGTCAGCAAAACACCAGCCAGCCACAGTGTCCAGGCTGTCTCCTCACTCTCCCCAGTAATACGTGCCTCAATCCTCACAGAAGCCTCCTAGGCTTCCCGCACACTCTGGCATTTCTCAGTGACCTAGAGAGATCTTTAAACCGCAGTGAGCCTGAGGACGTGGCTGAAATCCTCAGGAACGCCTGTCAGTGTCTCAGCAAGTTGAGTCTGAGTGACACATCTGAGTTTCCACTCCTGAGTGAGGAAGGCCTCGCTGCTAACACCCCCCTGGGGTGTGCCAAAAGGAAGCAGTGGGTGTGGGTGGGCGTCCCCAGGCTCAGTCCCTGAACACACATGCCAGGTGGGAGACCTACCCCAAGGCTTGGCAGCCCCTCAGTGGGGTCTGCTGCTGGACTCCAAGTGTGACCGTTTGCCAGAGGTCAGCATCCCAGGGTGGTCCCCTGGCTCGGAAAAGGTCCTCTTGTAGCTCCGCCCATTGGACCCTCCTCGGTGCCATTTGCAGATGTCACCATTCAGAATGTCCTGGATGTGCTGCACGATCAGGTTGATGGCAACTGCGCCAAGAGACAGACAAGCAGCGAGTTAGCCACGTCTATCGCCCATGGAGACTGCCCCTCCCTGCAGCACTCAGCCAGGAGTGGGCGCCCAACCTCTGCCCCAAGGCACAGGCCTGCGTGAGCTGGGCATAGGGTCAAATCTCAGCAGACAGAAACACGCATCAGGACACAGCAAAATAAGACTTCTTAGCTTAGTCTTTCAGGAATTTATGTTACAGTTGCTTAAAATGCTTTCTGCTAACAGGTTTGAATATAATATATATGTACGTTTTAAGAAACAAGGTCTTACTTTACTGCCCAGGCTGGACTGCAGTGGCCCAATCACAGCTCACTGCAGCCTCAACCTGCCAGGCTCAAGCAATCCTCCCACCTCAGCCTCCCAGGTAGCTGGGACCAGAGGCGCATGCCACCATGCCCAACTAATTTTCTTATTTTTTGTAGAGATGGGGTCTTGCTATGTTCCCCAGGATCTTGAACTTCCGGGCTCAAGTGATCTCCCCGCTTCGGCCTCCCAAAGTGCTGGGATTACTGGTATGAGCCACCGCGCCCAGCTACATACATTTTTATTATTTATTTATTTATTTATTGAGACAGAGTCTCGCTCTGTCACCCAGGCTGGAGCGCAGTGGCACGATCTCGGCTCACTGCAAGCTCCGCCTCCCAGGTTCACACCATTCTCTTGCCTCAGCCTCCCGAGTAGCTGGGACTACAGGCGCCCGCCACCACACCCGGCTAATTTTTTTGTCTTTTTTAGTAAAGACTGGGTTTCACCATGTTAGCCAGGATGATCTCCATCTCCTGACCTCGTGATCCACCCGCTGCGGCCTCCCAAAGTGCTAGGATTACAGGTGTGAGCCACTGCACCCGGCCTACATACATTTTTAAGCGTATTTTAACCCTGTGCCGCAAATCAACAGTGACAGGCCTCCAGCACACAGGGGAGTGCTCAGTAACTGCATGCTGGTAGAACTGTCCCTGCCTCAAGCTCTGGAAGGGGTGGGGGGACAGCCCAGCAGGCCAGCTTCTTACCCATATTGTCCACTCCTCGCGGGATGATCACGTCAGCATACTTCTTTGTCTGTAACGCACAAGGGGGGTTTCCATGAGGACTTTTCCTTCCAAGGTGATTTTAAGATGCTCAGAAACAGATGGGACAGCAGGAAGGGCGGCCCTGGGGTGCTCAGAGGTGCTGGTGTCATCAGCAAATGGGGGACAGGGACTCAGTCCTCAGGTGTGAGATGCCATGCATGATCCAAGAAGTGAGGCAGAAAGTACAGCTGAGGCAGCCAAAAGGAAGTGCCTCTTCCAGTGTTCCCATTCCATTACAGGAGACAGCTGGCTATGCTAACGACTGGATTCACTGGGCCAAGCTACGTGTGGCACGTCTACAAAGTGTGACATTGTTCCTCCGGAATTATGAAGCTTCTGCAATACCCTGGCACAGCAACAGGACAGATGCCACCAAGCATTATTGCTGCAGGCAGGAACACCGATGGTACCTTACTCCCTCATCCATCCACTCATTGGTTCAATGCTGACTGATTCTCATTCCCTGTCAGATGCTCTGCTGCTGAGGAAGGACAAGGACGGAGATATACCAGGAAATGCAGGGCTGCTGGGGAGGGCCTGCAGCCAGATGGTGGGGGCAGGGCGGGGGGCTTTAGGGAGGGGGAAGCTGCCTGGAGAACATGCCTGACTCAGACAAAGCTGAGGGAAGAGGGAGAGCAGGGTCTGGGCCGAAGGACGGAACTTGGAACGGTGGGTGCTGCTGGCATGTGGATTTGGGTCAAGGAGGCGGCAGAAGAGACAAGCTGCAGGAGGCAGACAGGGACCGAGTCCTGGGGACAGCTGTGTCTGCAGCCGGTGGGACCCCATCTCATGAAAGCATGAGCGCAAGGGCGAGGCCTGCTTTCCATTCCGGTCTGATCGTCTGATGGGCTGGAGGAGTCCCAGAGACCCGACAGGGGTCTTAACTGCCAGCAGGGATGGGCCTGAATGCAGTCGGGAAACACCTACGCGGTCCAGGCAGAGGACCGCACAAGCCACTCAACATGAAGATGAAGGAAAAAGCAGCTCAAGAATGGCTCTGGGTGGGGCTGAGGCTGGGCGCGGTGGCTCACACCGGTGATCCCAGTACTTTGGGAGGCTGAGGTGGGTGGATTGCTTGAAGCCAGGAGTCTGAGACCAGCCCAGCCAACACAGCAAAACCCTGTCTCTGCACATAAAATAAAATAAAAGGAAAAATTAGCCAGGCATGGTGGTGTGTGCCTGTAGTCTCCAGCTACTCAGGAGCCTGAGGTGGGAGGATCACTTGAGTGTGGAAGGTGGAGGCTACAGTGAAGCAAGATCTTACCACAGCACTTGGGCCTGCGCGGCAGAGTGAGATCCTGTCTCAAAAAACAAGCAAACAAACAAACAAACGAAAAACCAAAAACATCTCTGGGGCTTGGGCCCAGGACACAGCAGGTGACAGCACTTCCTCTATTCAGGTCGCTGGGTCAGATTTGATATCCAGAGTTTTACTGCAAATCACCTACTTTAGATCCCAGGAGATGGAGACCAGCCTGGGCAACACAGGGAGACCCCATCTCTACAAAAAATTTAAAAATTAACCGAGCATAGTGGTGCATGCCTGTGGTCCCAGCTACTCGGGTTGCTGAGGTGGAAGGATTGCGTGAGCTTAGGAGGTCAAGGCTGCAGTGAGCTGTGATTGCACCACTGTACTCCAGCCTGGGGCAACAGAGCAAGACTCTGCCTCGTTAAAAATTTAAAAAAAAAAAAAATTGAGCCAGGCACAGTGGCTTAATCCCAGGATTTTGGGAGGCGGAGGCGGGTGGGTCACTTGAGGCCAGGAGTTCGAGACCAGCCTGGGCAACATGGCAAAACCCCATCTCTTCTAAAAATACAAAAATTAGCTGGGTATGGTGGCGGGTGCCTGTAATCCCAGCTACTCGGGAGGGTGAGGCAGGAGAACTGCTTGAACCTGGGAGGTGGAGGCTGCAGTGAGCTGAGATCACGCCATTGCACTCCAGCCTGGATGACAAAAGAGACTCTATCTCAAAAAAAAAAAAGCAGCAGATAGAACTTATTTGACCTACGTATCAAAGGCAGGAATCTTGGTTCCAGTTCCTTTGTGCTGTATTTTTACCTTTTAAAGAGAACCGGCAAAATGCTCTCTTTAAAACACTCCAATTTGAGTAGAGCACAAGTCCCATCAAGCCCGAAACACAAGATGGAGAAACGGAGGAAAGACAGGTGGGTGCGCAGCGGGGAGTTCCTGCCCTCTGCGAGCCAGCTGGGATCTGTCCACAGTGCTCGCTCTGAGATTTCAGAGCACTGGCCCCAAGCAGCCCGGGGACACAGGCCCTGGAGGAGCAGCTATGAAGCACCTTCTGAGGGCCAGATCCCGGTCCTGGCAGTCAACAGCCTAACGTGCTCTGAGGGGCTAAGCACCCAGGACATGTCAGATGATGAGAAGTGCCCCGGAAAAAGGAAGCAAGCAGAGAGGCTGGCGCTAGGTACAGAGGGTTTTCAGTGTTGAACGGGGACGCTGGGCAAGGACCTGAGGCAGGGAGGAAGCGGCTAGTG